AGTAAACACATTTGATTGCATGTCACCATTTTGACCTAGCGCAGGAAATCACATCCACTCCTCTGCAGGGGAGATGACATCACTGGGTAGTGGACTGCTATACAAGCCATGTCCTTTCACAGAGACACACACCTCGGAGGGGAAAGGAAACCCTAAAGCTGGTGCGAGCCAGTCGCCAGCCAGCTCATTGTGTTCAGCTCTCTCTCCACAAACATGCGCAGCCCTCGGCTCACAAGCACAGACCCTCCTCCCAGCTAGGTCACGTGACAGGAAATGAGACGGTTATCGCTCGGGCTCATCTTGCAAAACCCACAGAGCAGGAAGCTGCGCTCCTCCGAGTGCGCTCGATAAAAGGCGGAGCAGGGTGGCAGTGACAGTGTGTGTGCTTGGCGGAGGGCAGTTTGAGTGGGCCGCCCTGCCCCTGCCAGCTGTGATTGGCCAGTGGGGGTCAGGCTGCGCTGTTGCTAAGGAGGAAGCATGGGAAAACCTCTCAACCCTCAGCAGCTGAGAGTGTTGCTCTTGCGTCGTTTTCATCTCCTCCACCCCGTTGGCCTTTGGCAGCCTACTCTTTCTCACACTGCCACTAACCTTTCCGAGTGCGGCCTTCCTGTCCCGGAGAAAATAAGCTTTGTGGTTTCTGAAACAGCAGCGCAACTGTGCAGCAGCTTTGAGGCAGCAGATGCATGCTCTGCTGAGCGCACTTTGCCTCAGACCTGTGGTGGGACGGGCTCGTCACCCTTCAGAAGGGGTACAGTATGTAAACATGTGCTTGTGGAGAGCAGCTCCTTGCTGTGTTAGGTGATGGCAGCTACAGTTCTCAGACTCCTTTAAAGGAAAGTGAAAGAATGAAAAAGAGATCACTGGGTATGGTTCAACCACACATTCAACAGCAGATAGGATTGTTTTAACTCGTGGTTTGCTATTGTGATGGTGGGCCGGTTTCCTTTCATGGGCCACGATCAAACACGACTCTTTATCATGTGGCTCTGGCCTCTTCCATCATCACTGATCATCACTGACCGAAGCAAATGACAATTGCCATTCCACTGAGCACTGCGTTTCAGACAGGTCTTTAAAACATTCTTGTTTGAATAAAACAGAGCTGTTTTCATCAGCACAGAGGAATCTTGCAGGTATAGGTAATCCATTATGAACTAGTTAATGATTAACTAATTAACTAGAAGTCAACTAGACTATTATCTCATACTCTACAAAAAGTATTGTGTTCTTCCCACATTATGTTCAAGTGGGTGAATAGCAAAAACACTTTTGAACACAAAAGAGCCATTGGCTTACAGAATTGCAAATGAAAAAACTGGTTAGCTTTTAACCTAACATGGATTAGGTATTGTAATTCATGGATTCTGGCCATGTCATTTCCCTGCAAAGCTTGAAACTTAGAGCACCTGGAAGAGTAACTTCACAAGGGGAAGTGTTGTTCGAGCTCCTATGCACAGACACATACTGTATGGGAGGTTCAAAGAGGAATTTCACCAATACCTAGGTGCCCCTGTATCTGTCCCTCTCACAGACCAGTTTTATGTTTTCCCTGCAGTTTGAGACACAATTTGAAGTGCTGCAGCATTCCTGGAAATGATCAGAGGCCAGTTTCCAGCAGCTCCTTCCTTGAAGGAGATTGAAAGCAGGTGCCAGCACAAGCTTCAGTCCTACTGGGACTAAAGAGTAATAATGGGAGTATCTTTCTTGGGCAGGGAAAAAAATGATATTTTTGGTTTCCTCCAGGCCAGCTCTGGTGTGGGTGACCTTCACCAATTGAGCCACTAGGGGCACCTGCAACACTTGAATTATTCCCCAGCACAATTAATTCCTTATTTACCGGCATGTCATAATACTGTTAAAAGGCTTCACCTTGTTCAGAATGTTACCAGGTTACAGACCCTCTCTATAACCTACATGCTGAGCTCTTGTTACTTGTGAGTTTTCAAATTGCCTGTCAGGCAGTCATAATAATCTTTAATTTCACAGGAGTTAAATCAGGAGCCTCAGAAGTCACTCCACTCATTGAGTTTCCACTCATTGACAGAGATCTGAAAATGCAGATTTACTGGTGGAATTGTATCTGTTTTTAGGACTCCACATCAGAAATGCTGAAAAACTAGATACTTTATTTTAATTTTCCAGTTTACATTGAAAAATACAATACAATACACTCAAGAGTGTTTTGCATAATGACCAGATCTGCATTTGCTCAGGTTTTGCTTTTCTGGGAGGCTGTGATATGAATGAAGCTTTAGAAGAAGTTTGTGTATCTCATGCAGGGTTAAATCCATTTGAAAATCAGTGAAATACAAGCGAAAGACAATCAATTTAGTGTTTCCTTTCCTCGTTAAACAATCAAAAACTGTGGTATTGAATCACCTACAGTTACCACGAACAGTAAAGTAAAGCATAGTCCCACTGCTGCCTTTGTCTGCTGTGTCGTTGGGGTTAAGTGTGCAGTAATTGTCTTTTAAATGCCCTGCGGTTTTGAGTTTCAGTGGAGTGATGTCACCACAGACCTCTTTCAGCCTTAAAATAGGTATTTAAAAAACAGGGAAATTTCTGCTGGGCTCGGATTGGTCTGAGATAGCATTGTGTTTCCTCTGTCAACAGGCCAGAGATATGCCTAACGACAGGAGGACCAATCAGTGCAGCCCGTGAGGCAGGTGACACTGTGGTGTGATGAAATGTGGAGGCTAACCCTTAAAATAACAGCGTCTATTGGGTAAAGCTATAGAGCAGGTTTCTTTAATTACCCGTCTTTCGTGTCTGCTGCAGAAAAACAGCACAGAGGACAGTTTACTTCTGGTTTTTCACACTAAGCCACATCCTTCGGCTCGTTTTCATTTGTAATCAAAACCTATTAAGGACAATAAAGCTTATTTTTATTACTAATACAATTAGTAACGATGAGCTTGTTATACAAATTAAGTTTTGGTTACATTTTGGTTACATTTATTTTACAGACATCAGTTAATTTATTTTTGGTTTATATCAATCCCCAGAATGCTTCTGGTGTTCCACAACAACCCTCTCCCCTTTAAGAAGAGTCACAAAGATGTGCACCTCCACATCTGCACAAAGATAAGATAACTACTTACACAAGATTGATCTCAAACGCTTAGAATTGTACAAAACGGTTTTGCAGAAAAAGGTTCCCTACTTTCCTACTGTGCAAAATGTGGTTCTATTTCTCTTCTGATACAGTTGGAGTCAAGATAAAGTTTCAGTGCTTGCTTAATTTTGTTGTCACATTCAGTTACTCTGTGTGCTTTTAGTTTTATCCCGAAAGGTCTTCTCGTTACAGTGGCATGCTATGGACATAACAATAGCAGAGCACAGAGAAATCATTGTGGAGCAAGATACAAACTCCAGAATAGAGCAAAGATAGCCAAGTAAAACTGAAGGACAAGCTGCAAAAACACCTTGCGCATTAACTGCAGCGAACTTTCTGAAAGGGGTTCCCCTTATCGTCTGAACTTTCAGAAATACCCACAATCTGGCGCTATCTGAAAAATGCTGCACAGGCCTGCAAGCAAGCAGACCTCTGCCCCTCTGAGGTATTCCAGAGCCCGGACACTGCATCTGTCTGAAGCCGGGGACAAGGAGAGATACCACAGATGCCAGCAGCAGTGACAACGCTCAAATGCAAACCTGCAGAGGGCTTAAAAAATAGCAGTGCGGAGGCCAGAGGAGGACAGGGTACACACACGTCATCCGTGCACCCCAATAGGCACGCTACAGTGTCCTTTTAAAAATCAAACACGTATTTCTATTCCAGACTTTGTGGGCAACCCTGTTTTTATTTCATGCTACACTCCAGTCAAATGAAACTCCACTAATCACATTTTTGAAAAAAATGTGCATTGTAGGGGCAAACTCACTCTGTTTATCCAGAGCAGCTATCGCTGTGGGGAGTCTTCCCAGATTTTAATCCCGAGGCCATGGGTAGTGAGACAAGCCCCCCTCCCCTCCCCCGACACACACACATGTGGTAGCGGTATGTGTGTTGTCCACGTCACTTTGTTTTTCAGAGCTGATATGGATATGCATCCTGCTGGATACTGGCCAGCCTGGGTTTATACAATGCGGTCAATGGGGATTTCATAGGGAAGGTCTGTTCACAAACCAGACGTCCTTGGCATCAAGTTGCAAGGCATTGGGGGAGCCTGCAGAGCAGCTCCTGCGGTGTACGGAGATAAGAGATGGAGTTGCTGGGGAGCCGATGCAGGAGATAACACACAAAAAGCCTTGTGTGAGAGCCACATTCCTCTGACACTGTACCCCAGTCTCTGTCCTCCCTGTCTCTTCCAGCCTACCTGGCCTGTTCCCCAGCTAGGACACCAGTTCAGCAGCAGGGCTCCAGTCCCTCTTCTTGACAAAATCCCCGAGCTCTTTGTCATAAAGAAAAACGCTTTCAGGGTTTTTTTTTTAGCTAGAAATAGATTTATATGATTTTATGCAATCGATTTAAACAAATGTAATCAATTTAACAATTTAATGCATGGGTATATTTTATTCAAAATCTATTGCTTGGCCTGTTTCTAATTCTATGGCTCAGTTGCAATTTTATTTTTTTTGCCACCTGTGACATATTTCATTAAAACTCGAAGTCCCGGCTTCCCTAATTACACCTCCACCAGGAGGCTAGACGCACTGTCGCACAGAATGTGACGATTGGGTCAGAAGGTCAGTATGAAGAATTGAGAGAAAAAGCCAGTCCAGAGTTTTAGATGAAATGGCGGTTCTGTAATGATTGCAACTTCAAAGAGCTGTGGGTTTATCTGCACAGAAAGGGCTTTATACTCTCAAAGAAAGGCACAAGATTCTGCAGCTCCTGTCAAATCTAAATGCCGGCACTGTTATCCTCCATATCCACTACAGCTAAGGGCTAACTGAGGGACCGAATTAAAAGTAATTAGAGAAAATAATGGCTTTGCTGGCACACCCCCGAGCAATTGTTCACCGTGCTTATTAATAGAAAACAGGTGACTAATTACAACAAACTCGCTGCAAATTAAAAGTGATTAAGAGCGGGATCTGCCGGGTTTCGCACCCTTATACTTTGTAAACAGGGTTTAGGTTTGGACTGCGCGGATTTCATGCTTATCTAGTGATTCAGCAAGCGACGATTCAGCGCCTGTAGCAGTTTCGTGCTCTTGCAGCAGAGTTTCAGCACACCTGGTGGCAAACGGCCAGCAGGCCAGGTAGGCGTTAACAAGAGGCATTTACCAGACTGACCTCCTCTGAGGTTGGGAACGAACTCTCACAGCTTTGCTGATCTAGACAAGGAGATTGAAGCGGTGTGGGTTACTGGTGTCGTTCTCTAATTATTTATTCGCTTCCCTGCTTCGGACTTACAAAGTGAAATTTCTTCTTAGCTTAATAACTGTGTCTTGTAGTATCTGATCTCATCTTCAAAAGACTATCACTTTTCACTTTTACGATAAATTAGGGAAGTATTTTAAACCGAAAAATATGCACGCGTGTCTTCAAGTGTACATTTATGTGATTTTGTTTTGCATACTTCATATATATGAAAAGAAAACGAAAAATGTGTCAGGCATGGTGCAATATTGGCCACTCTGAGAGAAATCTCTGTATTGAGCAACTGTACACGGGAAGGGAAAACCCTGTGTCGTTAACTTGCAATTCTGTTCTGACTGAGTCACATGCGTGCATCTGACAAGCTGCCCGAAGAAATTGCACCCCGCTTGCATTTGCAGTTTGAAAGATTTCTCCTTTTTTTTTTTTAGACGAGGATAGCTGGTTTCCATCTTGATCCTCCTGTCTTATTAATAAAAAAAAATCTGTAGCAATACTTTAATCAACGCCACCCATCTGTTTCAGTTGCACAATCCAGTTTTCCGTTGAAAAGATTGACCATGATGTCCGATAAGTTTTTTTTCCACGTTATCCTTTCTGCTTGCTTTCAGTCAGGAGTCTGGGAGGAGGGGATTGTGTATGTTTTGGTCGTCTTTCTTGGCGAAGGGAGAGGTAGCACCTTAGTGCCTTGCTGACAAAGTGATGGATGTTTGTTTTTATGAAGACCAGCTTTCGAGGGAAAGTCTCTGGACCGGGTTGGGCAGAGAAGTGAGGGCTGGAGGTGACTAGCGCTGTGCGGCGCTTTCCGAGAAGTCGAGGTTTGCTGTGAACTGGAGAGGCACAGTGCTATCGTGTCCTGTTTGCATTCTCCTGTCCTCTTCGTGAAAGAGGCGTCTGTTCATCCCTGGAAATTCCCAAGGTCTTTTGCTTCTGCGTTTTATTTTTTTAACCCCTAAACCCCTTTGAAATCAAAATTAGTTCTTGACGTTTTTTAATCGAACGTACAACGATATTTATTCACCACACTTTCTACTTTTATATAGATAATTTCTAGGTTCTTAAATTCTGTGACTTTTATTGTGATACTTCCCCCCTTCCACCAGACCCCACTTTTATTTCTTATTTTCATTGTTTTGGTGTCTCATCTTATTTTGGCCTTGATATTATCCAGCATCATAGGATTAATTAGTTTGTTCTGCTAGTTACATTATACAGTGTATTTTCTCATTCTTAATATATTTCATGAAAACATTACCAATACATGTTTATTACACTGTATGGTATGAGTTTTCCAAAGACTGAAAATGAATATTTGTAAGTATTAGTTTGGCTGGACATCAGTAGTGATTGGGAGCCTATTGTGGTTGATTCTTGTTGACCCCTCTCAGTGCTTTTGCCTCCCTTGAAGTGCTTGCTTTCAATTAAAAGGG